CCTGCCAGGGCGCGGCGTCCCGTCACCTGAAGGGGAAGCTGTGCTCACGCAGGCACCTCCGCCTCACAAGGCGCTCAAGCATCTTGCTGGTCGCAGGCTTTCCCCCTGGGACGCAGGGGCTTCTCGCGTCCCTCGTGGGCTGTGGTTGACCCAGTGGAGGAGCATCTGCAGAGGGCCTCTCGGTGACTCCTTCATCCCGCTGCATCAGCAGAGCTCTGAAGAAGCCTCTCCTCCGTCGCGCTCCCCAGGAAAGCTCTCCACTCGCTGGCACGTCTGTTCCTGGCGCTCCTCTCTAAGCAAGCCTAGAGTTTGAAAAGGAAATCTCAGTGACAAAATATAAATAAGGGAGTGATCTATTTCTTTTGGAAAAGCGTTCATCCTAGAAGATTGAATTAGATAGCTCTCCCAGGGCTTTGAGAGGAACGTTCAAACTCTCGTTGGTCTGTTTCACATGAATTTTGCTTTTCTAGACCCTTTAGCTGCTGAGGTAGCCCCGAGCTGTAGCCGAGTGCGCGCTGGTCTTCCTGCCTGCCTGCCGCAGCGTGCCTGCCGCTAAGCTTGTGTTTCCTCGGTGATAGCGTTCCTTTCTGCCTGTTCCCCTGTCCAGTGCCTGCTGGTCCTGGCTTGTCAGCAAAGAAAACTAGACTGCTCCTTGATTTTTAGTTGATGGCAATATTATTAAATAAAACAAGTACCAAAAAAAAAAGAAACCAGATAATCTTGCCATCTTTACAGAATAGCTATTTTTCACTTTTGTACTTTCCTTTGTGGGGCCTCTCTCCCTCTCTCTCTCTGTGTGTGTGTATACACACACACACACACACGTATTTTCTAAGAATATGGTGATTTTTCTGTTTCTGTTTCCTTTTCTTGGCATACACAGTGTTTTCCAATGGCTGTATTCCTTTAGTAATTATCATTTTGAGTGAGTGTAGACTCCTAACACTCATGTTCCGTAATTAACCAAATGGTTAGGTTTCCAGGTTTTTGCTATTAGCATAATACATATTGTAATGTGCAGCTTGATGCACATTGCTTCTCACTGCTGTTGAACTGGTTATTAAGATTAATCTGCCAGGGGAGGGATTTGGGGGCAGAGGGTCTCAAGCTGTATACAGTTCTTGCTACATAATGCTTTCTTGGTGAATTTTCCCTACACGGTCAGGGGTTGACTGGTTTTGTTCCGTCTTTCCCAACGTTGGCCCTGGTTAGTTCTCCTCATCTGGCCCTGATTTCAGCCTTTGGATCCCCAGTGAAGTGATCGTGTGTTTGCGTCATCCAGTATGCAGCCTGTGGCTGTTGCTTTTGCCTACACATGAGGTCAGGTTTGCCATTTTCCTTTAATGAATTTGAATGAGCTGTGATGAATTGCTTAACATTTCCTAGCAGTTTCATGCCCAACCAGTGAGATGACCGTATTTGGGGGAAGATTAAGCAAGTGGTTTGATGAGGTTTATAGAAGAATGATCGAGATTTGCCACAAGTGAAGGGGAGCTTAATTTTAAATCTTAAGTGGTCAGGTACCAAATGATCTTGCACAAGACAGTGTGATTCTGCAAAAGACTGATCAGTTGTTGAAGAAGCATCTGGTTTCTGTGGCTCAGATAAGGGAAGCAGCTTGCTCTCAGTTCCCTTCCAGCCAGTCCAGTGTTGATTCTCCTGAGCTAGTGCAGAGTTCCACCTGCATTTATCCTTAGAGCGACGTCACCTTTCGTGCTTGCTTGCTACTCCCTGCTCTGATGTCATTGCATCACATTGGGGGGGGGGTGGGAGGGGCACTGTAGAGGGACTTTAAAGATTTCTCTTAATTACTATGGGCTTCCTCCAGCATTAAGAAATCTTTTTCTTCCAGAATCTGGTTGTTTTGTAACAACCGGTCACTTTAGAATATCTGACCTACCATACTGCTGGGACAAAATATCTATCATTACACTTCTGTTTAAAAGCAAATTGAAATGTACAAATTGAAAGCAGAATCCCTCTCTGTTGCGCTCCAGAGTCTCCCACGAACATCCCCGCCATGGGCGTGAACTCGCCGTACCAGCTGGTCTACGAGTCCTCTACTGGCTGCCTGAGCTTCTCCCTCTCAACCGGGAAGGAAGGCAAGAAGAAAACAGGTAACAGTGCTTCCCGGTGAGACCTTCTGACCCGTCTTGGGTCAGGTGGGGAGGGGAGGGGTTTAGAAGAGTTACTGTGGGTCGATGGTTTGATCTGATTTTCTGGTAGGAAGGATTCACAGCTGCCCTGGCTGGAGGCCCAACAGCTATTGACAGATTCTTTCCTGTAAAAGGTGACATATCTCAACCCACTCACTCCACTGTGCGATCTCGTCATTTGAATGTTTGCAAGTGCTCCATTTCTGTTCATGTGGTTCCCCTCATCTGGGGCAACACCCTCACCAAACTTACATCGTCCATCTCCTACATTATCCCATACTCACCCCTCTCTGTGTTGCCCAGACTCATCCAGCAAGTAGGGGAACCAGGGTCTGGTATTTGGATACCTAACCGTGTGTCCCCACCTGGGCCAATTTGTGTGGTCAGAAAACAAAGACATCGAGGGCACTCCTGTTCTGTTGCAGAAGGAAGGGCTTGCGGGAGAGAACAGGCGGCAGGTGAGAGCAAACAGCAGAGCAGCTCTGTGCACCCAGAAGCTTGCAGGAGAGATGAGTTGGGCTGGAGAGGGCAGAGGAGGACTCGTGGAACTCCCAGGGCACCACCCAGGCTGAGAAGGCAGAGTGGCAGGGGTGGGGAGACTGCACTCACAAGGCAGTGGTGGGGGGTCCACGGTCACAAGGCAGTTGCGGGGGGGCCCACAGAGGGTTAGGATGCTCAAACTGTCCAGTGAGTCCCACAGACACTGGAGGTAACGCTGAAAGGTGAGAACCTTGGATTTTATTCCCTAGCCTACCCGGGCTGGCTGTGTGATTTGGCTTCCTCCAGGCCTCATTTTCCCTATCAGGTTGATCCTATAGCCTTTTGGTCAGTGAACAAATGTTTATTGAACAGTTGCTGGTTGTCGGTCACTGTTCTGAAGGCTGGAGGTACACAGGTGGACTCTGAGACAAAGAGCACTTTCCTCGAGGAGTTGACATCCTCAGCCTCCCTGCACAGGGCATGTCGGCTGCCCCCGCCTTGCTCCTTCTGGTCCTTTATATCTGTTGATGCATTTTTCTCCGCACTCTGAGCATCACGTCTGGAATCCCATTCATGTGCTTCTGGTTTATCATATCCCCTCCTGAGCTGGCCCTAAATTGATGCACACACTTTGTGGGGAAACAAAGTATCCTCAGGAAACTCCATGATTTCATGACATTTTTCTTCCTCATGACCTCAAGGTGGACGCCTTGAGTAAGGCTGTTGCAAAGCAAAAGTTACGTATGTCTGCTGGTCTCTTCGTCTACATGACTGTTGGCTGCCACCCGAAGGTGTGATCACCCGGCGCTGTTGTATCACTCTCACTCGGATGTATGCTCAGCGATGCTGCATTTCTTACAGGCTCCTGAGACTGTTTGGGAATTATTCTCATAATGAATGCTAGGATGGATGGTCAACCTTCCTTAATAGTTTATAAGTAGCCGTGTGTTCTGGCTTGCCCAAGAAAGTCCCAATTTATGCTATTGTCTTGGCATAACTATTAATTATACGTGCCCTCACGCTACAGCACCCTAGCTTGAAGAACATATTATAGAGTCATTGTGGTTTTAAGCTACTTTGGGTTTGGGACCTCTGCTATGTTCCATGCACACGTGCTGTCACACCTTGCCAGCGGGCCCCCTTTGCAGTTTCAGGGCCATGCACACTTGGAGCTGACAGGCTCCAGGAGTTAGACCTCCTTCCTGAGAGGACAACAGCCATTTCCGGAGAGTATCCCACCTTTACGGGAAGAGAACTGAGAGAAGCCTGTCAGCAGTGGTTCCTGGTGGTCACACCTGGGGACCCAAAGCAGCCAGGAGCAGGCCAGAAATGGATGCTCAGGCCAGCAGGTGTTCCAGGAGGTCAGCCAGCAGGTGACTGGGCCCCAGGGCCAAGTCTCTGGTGGCAGGAGACATCAGGGAAGGGACCAGGAACCACTCAAGGTGGCAGATACCAGAGATGGTACCCAAGCACCAGCCAGAAGCCCCAGGGCTTGGCTGACAGTTAGGAAGACGCCATTCTGAGGCCTTCCGGGCTGACTTGGAGCCTAAGCAATATCCCTGGCCCTGAAGCCATGGTTTATTATTGAGACCAAGGTGAGGCCGAGCCGCATGTGCCAAGGGAGATCATGTGGCTCCAGCCAGGTGGGCAGCAGAGGCTCAGAAGCAAGCAGGACCTGAATGCATGCCTCTGGAAATTCAGCCACCAAGGCTCACCTGATTATTTCACATCATCATATCCTCATACCACCTAACACTTGCCTTGAAGGTAACTGTGAAAGAACTGAAATAAGCACAAAACGTTGGCATCCATGGACTGGAGCAGGCAGAAGAAAGTCAACACACTTGAAGACAAGACAATGGGAATTACTGAGTCTGAAGAACAGAAGGAAAAAAGACTGAAGAGAAAAGAACAGAGCCTAAGGGACCTGTGGGACACTGTCAAGTGGCATATGCTTGTGGCAGTCCCAGAAGAGGAAAAGAAATCAAAAGAGGCAGAGAAAAAATTTAAAGAAATGATGACTGAAAACTTCCCAAATTTGATGAAAGACATAAACATCAGAGAAGCTCAGATGAACTCAAAAAACCCACACTAAGACATATGTAATCAGACTTTCAAAAGACAAAAAGAGAACCTGCAAAGCAGCAAGAGAGAAGTGAATCATCACATACAGGGAGCCTCAATAAGATCATCAGCAGATTTCTCGTCAGAACTTGGAGGATACAAGGCACAGGGCCAATATATTCAAAATGCTTAAAGAAAAAACCTGTCAGCCAAGAATCCTGAATCCAGGAAAACTGTCCTTCAGAAATGAAGGCAACATTAAGACATTCCCTGATGGACAAAACCTGAGGGAGTTCATGACCACTCAATGTGTACTGCAGGAAAGTCTTCAAGGACTCAGGGAGACTTGCAAGGTGAAATGACAAGATACGAGGACACTGGAGAAATAAAGATCTCAATAAAGGTAATAATGGGAAATTATAAAAGCTAGTATTACTGTAACAGTCGTTTGTAATTGCACTTTTTGTTTTTCTATGTGATTTAAGAGATTAATATATTTTTAAAAAATTATTTGTGTAAAATCCAGTATTACTGTTAACTTTGGTTTGTAACTCCAAATGTTATTTTCTACATGATTTGAAAGACTAGTGTGTTTAAAAGAATTATCAGGGGGAAGGTATAGCTCAGGTGGTAGAGCGCATGCTTGACATGCATGAGGTCCTGGATTCAATCCCCAGTACCTCCTCTAAAAATAAATGAATAAATAAACCTAATTATGCCCCCCCCAAAAAAAACTTTAAAGAAAAGAATGTTTATGTTTTGGGACATGCAATGTAAAAAGGTGTAATTTTATTGACATTAAGATGGTAAAAATTCAGATTAGAGTGTTACAACCTTAGAATGTTAAGTGTAATCCCCATGGGAACTACAAAGAAAATAACTTTACAATATTTAGAAAAGGAAATGAGAGAGAATTTTTTAAATTTCACTATAGAAATCAAATAAACAGAAATGAAGAAAGTAATGCAGGATATGAAGGACAAAAAGCTGTAGTAAAGCCTATAGAAAACAAACACAACAACAGAAGTCAGTCTCTCCCTGTCAGTCATCCCTTTAAATGTAAATGGGTTAAATTTTCCAATCAAAGGACAGATTGCCAGAATGGATAGAAACTCATGATCCAACTACATGCTGTCTACAAGAGACTCACTTGAGATCCAAAGACACAAGTGGGTTTGAATGTGAAAATACAGAAAAAAGATATTTCATGCAAATAGTAACCAAAAGAGAGCAGCGGTGGCTATTACTATGCTTAGATTTACACTCAGATAAAATAGACTTTAAGTCAGAAAAGTTTACAAGAGACAAAGAAGGGCATTCTATATTTATAAAAGTTTCAATACAGCAAGAAGATATCACAATTATAAACATTTATCACCTAATGATAGACCATTGAAATTTATGAAGCAAAAACTGACAAACTGAGGACAGAAATGGACGAGTTCTACAATCATAGTTGGAGACATCAATAACCCACTCACAATAACGGATAGAACAACAGGCAGAAACAAGGAAGTAAAGAGTCAAACAACACAATTAATTAACTAGATCTAACAGACATTTGCAGAACCCAAACAAAACAGCAAAAACAGAATGCACATTCTTCTCAAGTGCACACGGACGTTTTCTAGGATAGGTCATACTTTAGGCCAAAGTTAAGTCTCTGTGTGATAAAAGAGATAGATATCATACAAAGTATCTTCTCCAACCACAGTGGGCTAAAGTTAGGAATCAATAACAGAAGGGAAACTGGAACATTTACAAAATTGTGGAAATTAGACAACACACACTTAAACAACCACTGGACCAAAGAAGAAATCACAAGGGAAACTAGAAAATAACTAGTGACAAATGAAAATGAAAACATAACATACCAAAACTTATGGGATGCAATGAAAACAGTGCTAAGGGGGAAATTTATAGTTATAAATGATTATATTAAAAGTCAGGAAAGATCTCAAGTAAACAACCTAACTTTACAACTTAAGGAACTAGAAAAGAATAACTAAACCCCAGGCTAGAGGAGGAAGGAAATAAAAATTTTAGAGCAGAGATAAACTAAACAGAGAGTAGAAAATCAACAGAGAAAGATCAGTGAAGTTGATTCTTTGAAAAGATTCTTCAAAAGCACAATTGACAAATCTTTAGCTAGATGCACTAGGAAGAAGGAAGACTCAAATTGCTAAGATCAGAACTGAAAATGGGACAAAACTATTGATTCTACAGAAGCAAAAAGGATTAACAGAGAGTACTATTAACAATTATATGCCAACAAATTGGAGACCTACATGAAGTGGACAGATTCCCAAAACACAAAACCTGCTTAGACTAAATCATGAAGAAACGGAAAATTTGAGCAGACCTATAAATAGTTAGATATTGAATCAGTAATCAAAAAATCTCCCAACAAGGAAAATCTCTGGACCTGATAACTTCAGTGATGAATTCTACCAAACATTTAAAGAAGAACTAACGCCAGTCATTCTAAAAAATCTCCCTAAGATTGAAGAGGGAACACTTCCCAGCGCACTACTGCCCTGATACTGGAGCCAGACAAAGACATGGGAAAAATTGCAGACCTGTATGCTTGATGAATATCGATTAAAAAATCCTTAGCAAAATATTAGCAAACAGAATTCAGCAGCATATTAAAAGTATGATACAACATGACACCAAGTGGGATTTATTCCTGGAATGCACGCATGGTTCAACATACACACCACATTAACAATATAAAGGGGAAAAATTCACATGGTCTCAATGGATGCAGAAAAAGCATTTGACAAAACTCCCTTTCACGATAAAAACAATAAACTAGGAATGGAAGGAAACTACTTTCACATGGTAGAAGTCATACATGTAAACCCCACAGCAAACATCACATTCCATGGTCAAAGATTGAAAGCTTTCCCTCTAAGATCAGGAACAAAGCAAGGATGCTCACTCTCATCACTTCTGTTCACTGTATTACAGGAAGTTCTAACCAGAGCAATTAGGCAAGAAAAATAAATAGAAGAATCCAAATTGGAAAGAGAGAATTAAAATTATCTCTGCTTGCAGATGATATGGTCTTATATGGAGAAAACACTAAATATTCTGCACAAAAGAAACTGTTAGAACTAATAAATGACTACAAAGTCAACACAAAAATCAGTTGCATTTCTATACGTGAACAGTGAACAGTCTGAAAAGGGAATTATGAAAACAGTTCCATTTACAATAGTAACAAAAGAGTAAAACACTTAGGAATGATCCAAAGAGGTGAAAGACTTGTACAATGAAAACTACAAAACATAGATGAAAGAAATTAAAGAAGACATAAATAAATGGAAACACATTCCATGTTCGTGAATCGGAAGCTTTAATATTGTTAAAATGTCAATAGTAACCTGAGTGGTCTAAGATTCAGTGCAACTGCTATCAACATCCCAATGATGTTTTTTGAAGAAATAGAAAAACTCATCCTAAAATTCACATGGAATCTTCAGGAGCCCCCAGATAGCCAAAACAATCTTGAAAAAAACAACAAAACTGTTGGATACACACCTCTTGATTTCAAAACTTACTACAAACTTACAGTAATCAAACCAACGTGGTATTGGCATAATGACAGATATATAGACCAATGAAATAGAATAGAGAGCCTAGAAATAAATCTTTACATGCATGATCCGATGATTTTTGACAGGGTTCCAAGACCTTTCAATGGGGAAAGGATAGTCTTTTCAACAAAAAGTGCTGGGAAAACTGGATATCCACATGCAAAAGGATGAAGTTGGACCCTTACCTAACACCATATATAAAATTAACTCAAATTGGATCAAGGACCTAAATGTAAGACCTAAAACAATAAAACTCTTACAAGAAAACAGGACAAAAGTGTCATGACATTGGATTTGGCAGTGATTTCATGGATATGACACCAAAGGTCAAGAAAGAAAAAAAATAGACAAATTCTGGTTCATGAAAACATTTAAATTTTGTGCATCAAAAGACACTATCTACAGAGTAAAAAGGCAGTCCACAGAATGGCAGAAATATTTGCAAATCATATATCTGATGAGGGATTAATATCCAGAACATGTAGAGAACTTCTAAAACTCAAGAGCAAAAAAATTCAAAAATGGGCAAAGGGCTTGAATAGACACTTCTCCAAAGAAGATCTACAGATGGACAATAAACACATTCTGAGATGCTCAGTGTCACTAACCAGTGGGGAAATGGAAACCAAAACTGCAGTGAGATACTACCTCACCCCCAATAGGATGATTATTACTAAAAAAAAAAAAGGAAAGCAAGTATTGGTGAAAGTGTTGGAACCCTTGTGCACTGTTGGTGGGAGTGTAAATGGTTCAGCCACGTTTACTGTGGAAAACAGTGTGGCAGTTCCTCAAAAACTAAACATGGAATTACCATCCAATCCAGTGACTTCACTTCTGGGCATATACCCTGAAGAATTAGAAACAGAGTCTCAAAGAGGTATTTATACAGTGTTCATAGCAGCATTATTCACAGAAGCTACAACATGGAAGCAACTTAAGTGCCCATCAATAGATGATGGATAAAGAAAATGTGGCCTTTACATGCAGTGGATTATGATTCAGCCTTAAAAAGGAAGGGAATTCTGCAAGATGCGGTAACGTGGGTGAACCTTGGGAGGATCTACTACATGAAACAAACCAAGTCACAAAAAGATGAATACTGTTTGATTCCGCTTATACAAGGTACTTAGAGTATTCAAAGCCATGAAGGCAGAAAGTAGATTGGCAGTTGCCAAGGACTTTGTGGGGAGGAGTTATTGTTAGAGTTGTAATTTTAAAAGATGAAAAGAGTTATGGGAATAGATGATAACAATGGGTGCACAACAACCGCTTTTTAATTTAATACCACTGAACTGGACTCTTAAAATTACAAGTTGCTAAATTTTTGATACATGTATTTTAACACACACACAAACCCCCCAAACATCGCAATCTCCATTGACACCCCCTGCCCTCTGCAGCAGGCCGGGGCAAGTCAGCATCGGAGAAGTGTTGACGCCATTGAGACAGAATTGAGACTCTTGTCTTTGATCAGAAGTATCAGGAGGGAATGCCTTCCACGTCCATGGCAGCCACGTGTGTGCCCTCCCCGCACAGAGCCAGGCGCCCTTGGGGAAGCAGGGCTGGATTCATCCCTCTGCACGGGTGCTCCTGACGCACGCTCGGTTGACTCACAGGATGACATCTCTGTTCTACAAGTGGCCTGCCTGGAGGCGTGGATGATTCCCTTGACTATTCTGAGTCTCAGGGGATGCTGCCCTACCGCTCACCCCAACCCCTCACCCCAGGTGAACACGACGTCTTGAGAAACCATCTTCTAAAACCCCTCCCCAACCTCTTCCTCTCCAACTGCAGGCAAATTCAAGAACATGGAAGAAGTAGGCCTCACATCCCTACAACGTGGGACAGGACCCTCTGCCTCTGACATTGTCGAGCTCAGCGACCCCTGCCCCGAAGCCCGGGAGAAGCTGCAGGAGTTGTGTCGCCTTATGTGAGCACCTTAAGGGCTGGGGGCAGATGAGAGAAGAGGGCACTGCCGTGGGTGTGAGGGGATCTCAGATGTGCCTGGGCAGGGTGCCAGGGCCTGTCAACTACCCAGCACCCCCAGCAACAGTGGTGGGGTGATGGCCATCCCTCACACACGTCCCCAGCCGTCCCCACTCAATAGTCCTTTTCTGTCATGCTGTGACCTTACGAGGAAGGTGGGTTTGTGCCCATTCTGCAGATGAGGTAGCTGGGGTACCTAAGCAGGTGGGTGGGGCATGGCCTGAGATCCCACGGCTCTGTGAGCCTGGCCCCGGGCCCATGCCCTTTGCCTCCTCACCAGGGAGACCCCTTTGTGTGGCTTCTCACGGTTTATACAGCCTGACAGCTAAGAATATTTATTTCTTAACATAATTTGTCAGATGTTCTCCTAAGAAAAAAGAAACACCTCTCAAAATAAACAAAAAGCCTTGACATGGATGATTAATCATACTTAGGATTTTGTGGGTCCCGCTAATCCTAGAAGCGAGCCTGCATTTCCCCAAAGGCCCAAGCCATGGGCCATAAAGGATTTCAAACCTAGTCACATCTAAGCCATATGTGTGTTCTGGGACTCCCAGGCCACTGAGTGACCCTCAGCTGTAGAACATAGGTAGAGGACAGCCACCCAGTTTGTCCCTTACTGTGACATTCTGGAAGGAAGCTCTCTTCCTTTGTAACTTCAGGACTGGGGGAGTGGAGTGATCAAAGCCCCCAGCTCCCCTACCCCCTTCTGCACACAGTCCCACCCCGTGGGTCCCCCCCCGGGTGCAGAAGGTGGAGGTCAGGCCAGGGCTGGTCTCACAGGGGCATGGGGACCCTCCCAGTTCTTCCTTAAAGCACTGCTTTGAGGACGAGGGGTTGGGGTGGGGACAAGCACTTGGGGATCAGGAAGTGGGATGGAGTCTCGGGAGCTGGGGAGGGGCTGTAGCCAATCAGCTGGAGGATTTGTTGGTCTCCTTCCCTTCAGAGAAGCTGAAAAGATCTCGTGGAAGGGGAGTAATGTCTTCTACCCCATGGTCTTACGCAACTACAGGACTAAGATACCCTCTCATCTAGCGTCGAACCTCAGAGGGGACGCTCAGAACCCGAGCTCCCAGCACCCGCACCCCGTGGGCGCTCAGCCCCCCACCCCCAGCCCCCAGCCGCCCCCCGCCCACCACCTGCACTCGGGCCAGCGCTCTCAGGAGTGGATGGGCAAGAAGCCCATCAAGCTGCACTACTCCTTCTACGACGGCTCCTCCTTCGTGTAGTATCCTTTTACTTGCTGCTGCCCTTTCTCCCAGCAGCTCAGCCCAGAGAACTCCAGGGCTTGAAAGAAAAAGCCTGAGTGTTTACTTTGGCTTTTCAGTTGATCAGAGAAGGCTGGTGACGGGTCCTCCAGGGTAGTGAGAGTTTGTCCAGGTCAGACTCAGGAGGGTCAGAGGAAGAAGTTCCAAGGTTCCAGCCTCAAATTCAGTCCAGATCAACCAGAACATAGCAAACCCCACTGTCTCTGAGCGCATGTCAGGTCAGGCTGCAGTGAGCAGCCATCTCTGCCTTCGAGGCTCTCCCAGACCGGAAGAGGTTGAAGACACGGAGCGATTCCTCTCCAGCCGAGAGAAGGCGGGCAGGAGGCCCTAAATCCCCGGCAGTCTTCGTCTTCTGTCCCTGGCTCAGTGGTCAAGCCCTGCAGTTCTTGCATACTTTGCCCAGGAGGTCCATGTATTTGGAGTCTAACCTGAACCCCAAACACCCCGCCTGGCCTGCGCCTGGCTTGCTCTGCAGCTGAGGTCTGTGTTCATGAGCGTGGGGGCAGCTGGGTCCCAGTCTCGGGTGTGCGAGTGGCGCATTTTCTCCTTGAGAATCTGGCGAGAGCTGTAGCCCCTCTCCCCAGACATACGCCCTGGTTCACGTGCAAGTAAAATGTTGCCTGGGTGGCAGGGGTCTGCAGACCTCTAAAGCTTGCCTGTGGACCTGGACTTCAGGACTCTTCACTTCGGAAAACTGAGATTTCTAACGTGCAGTTCCCCTCTGGAGGCTGGAGCCTGAGAGTTGTGCGTGTTTTAGAGCAAACGCAGTCAGAGTGCTTTCTTCATTCCTAGATGTTTATCGAGTCTTCTGTGCGATGGATTAGTGGAATGGCATGAATGTAGCGTTTATGTCTCAGAGGGAGGAACCTTAATTTGATTGCTTTCTTCTGAAATGAGGGAAAGCAGTTCAAATGGGGGTGGTGACGGGGCAAGAAAGGGCTCCCTTTGGAGAGCCCGGGTGAGAAGCAGTGGGTCAGGAAGTCACCTGGGACCAGTGTGCCCCTTGCGGGGTTCTGTTGCCCGCTCCCCAGCACGCTCCAGAGCCGGCCCAGACCCCAGATGCACAGCCCATTTGGCAGCAAGGCTCTGAGGCCAGAGAGGGCAGAGTGCTCACTCCCGGCTCTGCAGCCTAAGGGGACGAGATGCAAAGAGACACTAAGCCATTCGTTCCTGTCCCTTCGTCATAGGAGCAGGGAAACCGAGACCCAGAGGGTCTCGATGTCACAGAAGGAATTTGGTGGCAGAGCCAGGCCTGGGCCCAAGGGCCTCATCACTTCCGTTGAGGGCCCTCTTGCCAGCACCCTTTTCATGCCTTTCAGGATTATTTCCTCCCGCAGAGAACTGGAGGGGACCTCATTTTACTAAAAACAGCATGAAGCTGGCAGGGCCCCTGACCCCTGGAGGAGAGTGGCCCTCTGAGCTGTCTCAGGCGCCCAGCAGGTCTACTGGGGGCGGCCCCCGCGCTTCCTTTGGCCTCCTCTCCACTGAACTGGGAATTCAGATCTGCAGTGCCTGTCAAAGGAGTCCCCTTGTTTCTCTGACCATAAATGAATGCATTCATCACACTCGCTCAGCCCGGCTTCCAGCACCCTGAGTGTGGTGCTCAGCACACTCCGTCCAAGGCAGCTGCCACTCCAGGGGTCATGGGACCCCCACCCCCCTTTCCTGACTGCCCATTGAATTGGGTGAGAGACCCCTGAGCCGGTCACGGAGCCGTGCCTGTGAGTTAGGTTGCTACCGCAGGGCCAGGCGAGGTGGACTAGTGCGCCGCCGGGGCGCAGCAGCCCGGCCTCCCGGGACCCGTGCTCTGTCACCTGCCTCGGAATCCCTGGTGGGACACCCCAAGCCAGCAGGCTGTCGTGATGCCGGTGCGCTCGACTCCAGCCCCAGGATCATCGCATCCTGGCCATTAGTGTATTTCTGCTTTGTGAGTCCCGGGGGGCCTGGATGCTACACCCAGTTCTTGGTGACCCTGCACAGGTCATTCCATCTGTCTGGGCCTCACTTCTCCCTATTATAAGATGAGGAAGTCAGACACAGTGATCTTGAAGGGCAGAGTCTGTGTTACTGTGTTCAAATGGCCGAAACACACGCACAGCTGTTGGCCCCTCTGGAGGAGAGATGGTGTTTGGGAGACACTTCCGTCCCTCCTGGCTTCCACAGAGCCCTGCGCCCAGCAGCTATTCTGTCTTCATGGAGACTGCTGGGCGACGCTCTCAGGTAGAAATTATGTACCTGCCCCAGGAATGCCAGAGAGCTCCCAGCCCTGGCAGGTCTGCACTGGCCGGTGTCAGCCCCCGGAACCGGCCCAACGTTCCTTTCTTTTGGGCATTTGGCATCTGCATCTCCTTGGCTCTCTCCCCTCAGTCATCGATTCTGCCCTCAGACTTCCTTCAAGGCCTCTTTTCGTGCAAAGGTACAAACTCATTGTATTAAAAGCAAGCTGTAATCCCCACCTGCCCCTTACTGTGCTCAGCACTGTTCCTTCAGGGCTTTGCTGAGCACTCAGAACCACTGTGTGAGGTGCATGTTTTTATGAATGCGGTAAAATGCACATAACAGTCTCCATTTTAAGCATATGGAAGTGTGCGGTTCTGTGGCATTTGGTCCATTCACAGTGCTGTACAGCCATCACCACTGCCTAGTTTCCAGCACTTTTTCATCACCCCAGCAGAAGACCCGTACCTCTGAAGCGGTCACTCCCCGCTCCCCGTCCCCCCAGTCCCTGGCCTCTGCTCACCTGCTTTCTGTCTCTGCCTTCGCCTCTCACAGACGTTTCATAGACGTGGAATCACATACCATGTGCGGCCCTGTGTTTCTGGCTCCTTTCACTGAGCAGAATGTTTTCAAGTTTCTTCCAATGTTGCAGTATATGCATCAGTAGTTCATTCCTTTTGTTTTTTGATTGCGGTGAAATTCATAGGACGTAAAGTTAATGCTTTTAAAGTGTACAGTTTAGTGGCATTTAAAACATTTATGGCGTTGTACAACCAACAGCTTTATTGAGTTCTGGGACATTTTTTCACCCCAAACAGGAAACCCTACACCCACTTTCATTTCCCCCTAACCCAGCCCTCCCTGGCGGCTCCCAGGCTGCCTTCTGTCTCCGTGGATCTGCCTGTTCGGGACGTCTCATATAAATGGGCTCTTATGACACGTGGCCTTTTGTGCCTGGCTTCTTTCACTTAGTGTGTTCAGAATTCGTACACGTTGTCTCACGCATCAGAATTTCCTTCCTTTTTGTGGCTGGCTAATATTTTATTGTGTGGACGTGCCGCTTTTAAAATCTGTCCTTTCATTTATGCACATTAGGTTGTTCCCGTCGTTTGGCTGTTGTGAATAATGCTGCCGTGAGCATCCCTGTAGAAGTCCTTATCTGCACGTTGTTTTTGGTTCTTTCGGGTCTCTACCTGAGAGTGGAGTTGCTGGGCCAGATGAGAATTCTATGTTTAACTTACTGAGGAACCTCCAAGATGCTTCCCCCAGTGGCCGCGCCGTTCTGCGTTCCCCCAGCAGTCGGCGAGGGCTGCAGTGTCTCCACATCCTTGACCATACTTGATGTTTTCCAGTTTTTTAATTCCTGCCATTGCCGTGGGTGTGAAGGGGCCATCTCGTCGTGGTTTTGACTTGCACTGTCCTAATAGCTAATGACCTGGAACATCTTCATGTGTCATCTTTGTGAATCTTCTTTGTAGAAATGTGTATTCAGGTCCTTTGCCCGTCGTTTGTCTTCTTCTTGCTGAGTTGTTAGGGTTCTTTATACACCGTGAATACTAGGCCCTCATCAGATACATGATTTGCAGGGTTTTGTCCTATACTGTGAGGTGTCTTTTCACACTCATGATAGCATCCTTCGATGTACAAAAGTTTTCAATTTTGATGAAGTCCAATTTTTCTATTTTTTCATTTGTTCCTTGTGTTTTGGGTTTCATGTCTGACAAACTACTGCTTACCCCTATGTTTTCTTCTAAGAATGTTATAGTTACACCTCTTACATTGAGATCTCTGATCCATTTCTGAGTTGATTTTTGCACATGGTATGTGAGACAAGGTTCTGGCTTCATTCTTTCGCGTGTGGTACCCAGTTGTCCCAGCACTATTTGTTGAAGAGGGTATTCTTTCCCCCATTGAATGGTCCTGGCGCCGTTGTTGAAAATAAATTGACCACAGATGTATGGGCTTATGAACTTGCTGCCTGTACAGAGTGCAGGGAGGGTCTTGAAGGCTGGGAATGATGCACCAAACAGCTAAAACACTTGGACGTGCAGACTTGCTTTCCACAAGGCACCTGAGCACAGAGCCTGGAGAATTTTCTGTTAGTTCTGCTTAACCATCCTGCCAGCTATCCGTCCGGAAACATCGCCGTGTGTCAGATCCCCACGTGCTGCAGAGGGAGAGCCATCACCTGCCTCTTTAACGACACGCCCAGCTTCTCCTTCCTGGCCATGTTTAATGCTGAAGGCCAGGGCTGCGTTCACTACAACCTGAAGTCCCGGTGAGTGGGCTGGGGGAATCTTGGCCCCGTGGAAGTGTCTCTAGGGGTGACAGGGTGGGGGCACTGAGGTGGAAAGTAGAGGCTCCTGGGAAAAGGAGGGGCTGGGCAGTGTCCAGAGGTCTAGGAAGGCAGTGAGGCAGGGCCAAGCCGTGCCTGCAGGGACACATCTGCTTCGAGGCCCTCACTCGATGGCTCCGTGTCATAGCCGATGAGAAGGGAGACTCCCCAGATCCTGCTCCACTTGTGCCCCCAGGGCACTGAGATCATCTTGATTGTTGACTAGACTCATGGAGGAATTCTTTAGGGGAGAGGAGAGTTTTATACCAGGAAGCAGTGAAGGAGAGGCCAAGGCACTACTTCTGTGAGGTCTTTTAAGAGAAGCACACGCTCTTGGCAGCCAGATACTGATTTTGTCTGGTTTTCATAAGGAACTGTCCGTGAAGCCGTGACTCTCATGCTGTGCACGTTCCATTTCCCACTTTGATGCCTGAGGTCTTCTATACTCAGGCTCCTGGACTACAGGCACACACTCCATTTCTGTTCCCCTTGGGCTTCTCCTGAGCCTCCACCATCTCCCTGAGATCTGTCCTTCCCAACAGACTCCCCAAGCAGCGCCAGCAGGTGTGAAGGGGCCTCAGACCATACGAGGCAGGGGAAGCCGGGCTGCCTGCAGGAGTCCACCGTTCTTCCAGCGAGGGCAGAGTCTCAGAGCCTTGCCTGCCTGGGGCCTGCGGTGATGAGGGCTTCCTTGCGGGGCAGCGCCTCATCTCTGTGCCTCTCCTAGCTGCCCGTACGTCTTGGTCTTGGATGAGGAAGGTGGGACCACCAACGACTACCAGGGCTACGTCGTCCACAAGTGGAGCTGGAGCTCTAAGACAGAGACCTTGCTGTCCCTGGAATACAAGGTAGGGGAGGGCAGCAGAGGCGGGGCTGGCTTGGGGGCTTCCCTGGGCTGCGCAGCACTGAGCGCCGAGGGCTGCCTGCTAAGATGGGCGCCCTGGCCTCAGGGTTCCTGTAATCTCATTCGGAGGTCCCCAGGTTGGTGGGCAGTGGTCCAGAGCTGGCTGAAGTGGACTTTTCACCAGCCTACAGCAGCTGTCAGCTGCCATACTGACCTCTCTGGATAGTATCCTTCCTATTTTACTTTTATTGTGAATATTACATTTTTATAGTTCAATGTCCTTTATTTTAGGAAGTAACTGTTACAATAGTTGGTAGTTTTATTTTTAATGCTTGTGTGTGGCAATAAGAAAAGTCAATAGTTCTATATTAGTCTCCCCAGTTTTTGTTTTTACAACTTTGCTGTCCGTGAAATCAAAAAATCTGGGCGTCAAAGGTAGCTGATAGACACAAACTCTTTTTTCATTGATTTGGTTATTCAGCTATTCATCAGAGGTTTGTTAAATAATAAATTTATGTTGAATTAGTAATAGTAAATAATAACTGAATACACTTAATTTACTAATAAGGCAGTTAAGGGTGCTTGTCACTTCACCAAAGACAGAGTTTCTCATCCCGGGAACTCCTGGCGCTTTGGGATGGAGAACTCCTTGTTATAGCTGTGCACTGTAGGATATTTACCAGTCTCCCCCTCGAGGCCAGTAGTACCCCCTCCCAACTGTGAAAACTAGAAATATCTCCAGACATTGTGGGGCAAAATCACCTTGTGCTGAAAATCACCAGTCTAGGGGATAGAAAGTTAAACAGGACCCCTCAGGGAACTCAGAAGAGTAGGGGAGTAGTAAGAACACGTGGTAGAGAAGGATAAGGGCTGAGAGAGAGGAAGAAGCTCGGAGGGCTGGGGTTCAGAGAAAGATCACAGAACATAAACTCCACCCAAGGTAAGCACTCTGGACAGAAGCACCCTTGGAGTTGATGGTGGGCTCAAGTCTATCCCGTGCCCTTCCTGTAATCCTCTACGCGGGCCGCTGGATTCCCATTCCTGTATCTCGATTCCTGTAGATCATACCTCTGCTCAGAAACATTCAGTCCCTTGAACATGTCTCACCCTCCCTGCCCCGCTGGCCTGAAATACATCTTCGCTCTCTGCCAAGCCAAACTTTCCCTCCTCAAAGCCCTGCTCAGACTTCCCGTCCTCATGGCACTCCAGCCCGCACCCATTTCTCTCTTCTCCCAGTGCCCACTGTCTGGATTAAGACATAATCCAGCCTGAAATGACAGATGTCAGTCATCTGACAATTAGTCATGAGATGAAGAGGTTCTCTTTGGCGGCTGCATATCAGAATCACCTGTGGGACTTTAACAGCGACACAGACCCCAGGCACAGCCCCACAGAGATTCTGATTCAGTTCGTCTGTTACGGGTTCTGGATTGTGCAGTTTTCCCAAGTCTTTTCTGTTGCTTGACCAGTTCCAAGATCCCTAACCCAGGGGTGTATTCCATTGTTGTTGTAATATTTACCTGTTTGTAGTTGTATAAAAAGTTTACAATCCAAAAATATTATGAATGGGTTGCAGGCAGGCACCATGTATTATATGTCAGTGTTGCCAAGTGGACAGAGAACTGGGATGAGAATCTGAGGAGCCAGGTACTAGTGCCAGCTTTGCTAAACGCTGGCTGCGCAGCCTTGTGAAAGTGACTCAGCTTCTCTGAGTCCTGGTGCCTCATCAGTCCTAGGTGGGTCACCCGACCCTCCCTCCCGCTTCACACTGCTTTTGTGAGAACTAAATGAAACAATGGCGATATGAGGGTGCTCTGACATCACTAACGTGCTCTGGCAGTGTGTTGCACTGTACATTGCTCTGTTCTCGGGAGCTGCACGCAGAAATGCACGGTAGGGGCTGGTGCCGTCAGGAGTGGCCTGGAAGACAAAGTGGCCCCTGAGTTGTTCATGAGTGTGTGTGCGTGAGATTTCCCGCAGCTATAGGGAAGCAAGGAGAGCACTCTGGGTCGTGTGATGGCGTCTGTAAAGGCTGGGAGTTGGGACTCAGATGGCATCATTAGAAGTTCACAAGTGCTTCTCATGAAGTAAAAGAAGGCGAGAGCTGTATGTGTCGTAGGGCGGAGGCATCGGATGGCAGGCTGAGGAGTTTGCATGCTGTCTTGGAGGCTGCAGTGACCAGTTTGCTTTTGCCCAGATATTTACTGTTGCCAGCATTTTTCATTCCTCTCTGAAAATCCGTTTCCCTCTGGTGTCATGTCTCTTTAGCCTGAAGATCTTCCTTTAGCATTTCTTGAAATGCAGATGTGCTGGCAAAAACATGCTCTGTTTTCTTCCATGTGAAAAATGTCTTTATGAAAGGATATTTTTGCTGGATATGGAATTCTGGGCTGGATTTCTTTTTCTTCCAGCATTTTAAAGATACTGTTCCATTGTGTCTGTCCTCCATAGCTTCTGGTGAGATGTCTGTAGTTATTCAAGCCACTGTTAATTTTCTCTAGCCGCTTTCAGAATCTCTCTTTTCTTTAGTTTTCTAAGTTTGACCGTGTGTCTGGGTGGTGTTGTCTTCATATAAACTGTTGGCAGTTTACTCAGCTTCTTTAATCTGTAAATTTACATCTTGCACCAAATTTGGGGAGCCTTCTGCCATTATTTGGGGGGGGGAATGTGCTCCAATATCTTCCCTTTTCTTCTGAGACTCCGACTACATGTATTTTAGACCTTTTAATACTGTCCCGGAGGTCCCTGAGGCTCTGTTCTTTTTGTCATTGTTCAGCATTTTTCTGTTTACTTCTCTGATTGGATAGTTTAGCTGGATCTATCTCCAAGCTCACTGACTTTATTCTGTCATTTCTATTCTGCTATAAGGCTAATCCTGTGAAATTCTAGAATCCCAGGTACATATTTTCTTTTCTTTTTTGTGGGGAGGAGAGCAGGGGGAGGTAATTAGGTTTATTTGTTTATTTTTTAATGGAGGTACTGGGGATTGAACCCAGGACCTCGTGCATGCTAAGCACGTGCTCTACCATTTGAGCTATACCCTCCCCCCTTATACATTTTCAACAGTAGAATTTCCATTTAGTTCTTTTTCACTTTTTCTATTTCTCTGCTGAGATTTCCTAATTTTTTTTCACTGCAAGTATGTTTTCCTTTGCCTCATTCAGTATAGTTAAATAACCTGCTATAAAGTCCTTGTCTGATAATGTCAGCATCTGAGACGTATCACACAGGATTGGTTATCCGCTTTGAGAACTGTTCACACTTCACTGATTGTTCACATGTTGAGTAATTTTGGATTGCTGACATTGGAGTCTCTGAATCCTAATGTATTTCTCTGAAGAGGGTTGATGTTTCTGTTCTAGCAAGCAATGGACTTGGTTAGACTCACGCCACCAACTTTGTCTCACCTACAGTGGGCAGCAAGTCAAATCTCACTTCAGTTTTTTGTTTGCCTAGGAGCAAGCTGCCTTGAGTCCGCACTGCTCGCGCGTGGTTCAGGGATCAGACCAAGCTGTGGACTGTTTATTTATAGAACTTGGGGCTCTGGGTCTCTGACCCTTCTGAAATCCTCTCCTTTCCTGTGACTGTAGTTTGCCCCAGGTTCTGTCCTTTGGTTCTTTGGGCCAGAAAGATGGTGGTTTTGGCCATGACTGTGGCCTGCCTTCAAGCTAACACTAAAAATGAAAGGCATCCTATGCTGGGCCTTTTAAGTTTGGGCTCTTCAAAATCTGCCTGCTTTTGCTCACTCTTCTGGGCCTTTGGTCGTTGTTTTCTGTATTTTTTTTCAAGTTCTGTGGGAGGATCGGCCTGTTAGGAGCAGATGCAGCTAGATTGGGAGTATAACCAGCTGGTTAGTTTTTAAGTTGAGAGCTGGCATGCTCGGTCCAGCGTTTGTGTGGAAGGTGGACTGGAGAGGGGAAGATGAGTGGATGGGACTAGTGGAAAGGCTAGTTAAGGGTTACTAGCCGGGCCGGGCCTGATGGGGGGTAGTTGTAATATGTTTTGAAAGGGCTATTTGAGTGAAGGAAGTCGGTGGCATTCAGAAGTGGGCTCTAGGGGATAAATGAGAGGAGGGAATTACAAATGACCCCACGTGGAGGGTGTGTGTCTGGGCGGAAGTGAAGAAGTTTCTGAGAGACTCAGGGATCCATGTGGTTTTAGAGGGGCTGATTCTGCTCAGTGGGCATATCTCACTGGGCCCTTGTGATGGGGGTCCTCACGTAGGGTCGGAGATGGTGGGTGATGGACACCTGTGCCTGGCTCATGACCTCCCAGGAAGATGAGCAGTGGCTGAGTTGGTAGAGCACCATCTTTGGGACATTGGGGAGAGGAAAAGAAACCACCCAGAGAGCAGGATACTTAGAAACAGTGAAACCTTTGCTTATTTAACCTGTGAGATCTGCTCAGCATCCCAGAGAAAGATTCTGTTATTGTCCCAAGGCTCAGAGAAGCGAAGCAGCCTGCCTCAAAGTGCCCGGCTAGCAAGTGGCAGTCTTGTCCAACCACAGCTCACAGCTCTAGTCTCCCCTTTCTAGGAGGAGAACCAGCGGTGGCAGTGTCTCTGTAGGGTGAGAGTGATGGACAGGTTTGCAGGTGTCAGAGACCTGGCAGGAAGATGGTCATGATCAGACGTTGCCAGGGTGTGGAAGGGACTAGCATCCAGACTGCAGAGAATAAGGAAGGGGCCTGGTGGGGAGGAAGCTGAGTGTGGATCTTTAGACCATTAAGTGCAGTCGTAGAAGGACATGGAAGGAGTGCGGTGGAGAGTGCTTTCTTGTTTCTGAGGGGTCCTGCGGTGCGTGTCGGTCAGGCGCGTGAGGACTGGGGAGGCGCCACCAGGCAGACGTAGGGCTGCAGGCTCCCAGGCCCTCAGGTGGAGCCGCCGTGCGTGTGACTGCACACGCGAACCGTCCGGGGCCCCACGTGTGCGCTGCTCTGCCGTGTCCTGACTTTACCTGCTCGCGTGCAGCGTGGGCCTTTGTGGCTTATGCAGCCACTTCCGTGGTCTTGATCTCATCCAAGCCTAAGAGTAGCCTTTCAGCTCTTCCACAGTGAGGACTGGGAGCTTCAGAGAGGCTCATGGGAGGCCGAGCTGGGACTCACCCCCGACCACAGAGGTCTCAGTGAGGACAGAGTGGCTCTAAGGGCCGCTCACCCTCCCCCGGCTTCTCTCTGGAACGGCCACATAGGGAATCCCACCCTTTTGGAAGTGATGAGAAAGGGGGGCACTCCTCAGGGGAAGAGTGGCGACATCCTGGGTGAGTGCAGGGGAGGGGATGGAGCACGTGTGCTCGGCCCTGGCGGGGTTCCCTCCTGCCACCTGCCCACGACCTGCAGAGGGGCAGTTCTGGGCCCTGCCAAGGCAGTGCTGCATGTGCGGAGCGGGACTCCTGGGCAGACTCTGGGGCAGTGTTACCCGCGCTGCATTCCTGTCCAGCTCTCCCGGAACTGAAGCCGACTCGCCCTTTGGTCACCTATGTCTCCTTCACAACTGCTTCCAAGTTTGACTTGGGAAGTGAAGGGACAGTGTGAGGAGCCGTCATTACTGTTTCTGCTAATTCCCCAAAGAGAAACTGGAATTCCTGGGTCTTCTCCTTGAAAGTTAGATTCCGACATAATAACCAGAAAGCTCTTACAGCTGCCTCAGCCCCAAGCCAGGAGGGACTCTGTGCTCTGTGGTGGGTCGGGAAGAGCTGGGCGGGACAACAGAAGCAGGGGTCCGCTGAGTCCTGGTCTCTCCATCCGCAGGTGAACGAGCAGATGAAGCTGACGGTGCTAGGCCAGGACTCCATCACGGTCACCTTCACCTCCCTGAACGAGACAGTGACACTCCCTGTATCTGCCAACAACTGTCCCCACGGGATCCCCCACGATAAGCGGGTAAGGCACGCAGACCAGGCCCCCCCGGCCTGAGCCCAGGGCATCTCAGCGTGGGTCGTCACTTCGCATCTCAGTGCCTTTGCCCTTCCTGTCTCCCCTTCCCTGTACAAGGCCCCCCTCATTCTCCGCCTATGGACTCCTACTCACCGTTCCCTGTCTGCCCTGAGTACCACCTTCTCCGGTAAGCTTCTACCAAGAGTCTTCCAGTTGTGATGGAATCCAGTGCAGACTAGCTTAAACATGGAAAGAGCCTGTACTGGCTCAGTAAACTGTAGTCAGTCTGTAGATAGGCAGCTTCAGGAATGGCTAGATCCAGGCCCTCAGATGATTCCATTGGATCGTCCCATCTCTTGGCTCTGCCTTCCTCTTTGTTGGCTTTATTCTCAAGGAGTTTCTCTCCTTTTGGTGACAAAATGGTCATGAGCACCCCTGGGCTCACTGATCTACCAGCTTCAGCCTCCCTCGGAGAAAGAGGGCTTCTCTTTCCTAAGTGCTCCAGTAGAAGTGCCAACACCAACATTATTGGCTCTATCTGCTGCCCGCTGCTGAAACGTTCTCTGTGGCCAGGAGTGTGTGTTGCTCTCACTGGCCAGGCTCAAGTGTCATGTCCATCCCAGGAGCAGAGGGGTGTACCAGTTGGGCAGACGATGAGGCAGGAGTGTATTCCTAAAGGAAAGTGGTGGTGCTGATACCAGAAGAGGGAGAGGTGGTGCTGGACAGGATAACTGCCTGCGTGCTGATGACCCTCTCCACCACCCCCTGCCCGTCCCAAGTAGAGTCGCCTCCCCCTGCCCTACCCTCCCAGCCCTGACTCACCTCCACCCCAGCACTGCCTTCCTGCAAGCCAGCCTTCACTACCAAACCGGGAATTCCCTGCAGTTCCTTCTGCTGTCTGTTGCCCCCGGGCCCAGCACAAGGACTGCTTCACATGAAGTACTTGCTCAGGGGGCGAGTGGAGGCAGGAAACCCAGTTCTTCATTCACTGGGTCTTTGTGGATCCTCCTGTGTGCCTGGTCAAGAGTCAGCATTGTGGAAAGAGGCGGGGAGGATGAAGGGGACAGAGTCCCTGATGCCCAAGGAGTTTATCGTCTAGAGGACAGTTGACATTCACCATGAGACTGGGGTGGCCCAGGGCTCCGGGGTGGCGCCGGCTGCCTGTGTCACACACAGGCGCTGCGTGGGACTGGGTCCCTCAGGAGGGCCTCTTGGGGCGGGGTCGAGGAGACCACACCCTCCAGTCTGCCTGGGGCCAGTCCCGGTGTTCACCCGTCAGCCCGGGGACTAGTAGTAGCACCCCTTCCCTCCCAGAAAGTTTGGAGGATATGTTACAGTCACCCAGCGGGGGGCCCTGCACTGTGAGGGCACTGCCACCGTAAGCCGCAGGCTGGCTGCCCACAGGGCGGACAGCACCCCCGGGAGCAACCGGCCTCACGTCTGCCCTTTACACGGGGACACGGGAGGCAGGCGTCTGTTGGAGACCCGTGTCGTCTGAACAAGACACAGAGGACAGCTGCACTTCTCCTGGAGGGAGGCGGTGCCCCTGTTTCTCCCACTGGTCCTTCATTCCAGCAGCATTTCAACTTCATCAGTTCCTTAGCTAATTTGACAAACATATACCAGCACCTGCGCGTGCCAGGCTGGCTGCTGGGGACGTAGGAATGAAGGAGTCTCGCTCCCTCTTGTCTCTGAAATTCTCTCAGTCTAATGGAAGGGGCAGCCCATCGACACAGGTCATGATCTGGCTTGACTGGCCTGTTGTGCCGGGGGATGGGGGCGCTGTGGGAGCTGCGGGGGTCCATGGGGAGAATGCTTGTTACAGGGGTCTCAGGCACCCGGGAAGCTCGGATCCTGCGACTCAGCCTGCACTCATCACTCCACAGAGCAGAGCATCCCCAGGATTTTGAGCCCATCTGGGCTGAAATGACTCATCTGTCAATGTGGCTCCATACGCCGACTCTGAAAGTCATTGTTAGGTGACTAAGTACACGGGATGTAGGGAGTCATGAGTCTATATTTCTTGAAAACCTTTTAAGACTGTTTTAAAATGTGCATTTGCTTTTCTTATTGAAGGCAATAGATAATAGAATTTTTTTTTGTTGTTCCCATAACATTGCAGTAGTGCTTTGTTTTTTTTCTGGCAACCTCTTTCCTCGTAATCTCTGAAATTTGGAACGTGGCTGAGGACCAGGACTTAAGCAGTTGAAGACCCCATGAACAGCCAAGTCCATGTCCCAAATGTGCCCTTTAAGGCACAGTCATTCACGTCTTGCATTTCCTTACCTAAACGCAGCCCTAGGGAGCTGGGATCAGAAGAGCAGGGCTGTGCTGTCCAGTATGGTACCCCTGGGTCGCAGATGGTTATTAGGCACTCAAAATGTGACAACTATAGGTTGAGATGGGCTGTACGTGAGTGGACGTCCTGCGTCAGAGACTTAGTGTGAAAAGCGAGTGTAATGTTTCTTATTACTCGTTTATTTTGACTGCATGTTGCAATAATCATATTTTTGATGTATTGGGTTAGATAAGCATGTCATTAGAATTAACTTCTCCTCAGAACATTTTTCATGGGGCCTCAGGAATGTTTAAAACTACACACGCAGCTCACATCAAACCTCTCCTGGGCGGCGGGGGCCTAGCAGGTGGAGTCCGCAGTCAGGGAAGCTCACAGAGGTAGTTTGACAGTGCTGAAGGCGGCTGGAAAGTTGTGTATTAAAAGGAACATTGTAATTCAAAAGACATAACCGTCCTGGGGGCACTTAGCAGAGCGATAAAGAGACAGATACATGAAGGCGGCTTCTGAAAACCAGAGAGTAGTCGTTAGGGTTGAGCCAAGAGGCTGACTTGTGAAAAAGCGTTCAGGTCATGACCTCTTCTATTTTAGAATGCGGGGAGGTGAACTGTATGTTACAGCCTTCTAACTAGATCAACAACAAATGAGGAAATATCAGATTTATTATGGATTTAGCTAGCTTCCAGATTAAGCATCTTGGAATATTTTTACATGAGATCCTGAGGCTCAGCGAATTGTCTTATCTTAGATTCTTGGACTATGAGATCTACCAGAAGCCCCCAAGAAATGTTGCTGGGTGAGGGGGCAGACAGAGAGCCTCGGCGAGGAGGGGGCTTCGGGCCGTGGGCCAGTCCCTTCCCTTGCTGGGCCTCAGTCTCTGCGTCTGGGTAGTGATATGTACAGGCCCACCCCGCTTTCCCACACCCCTGTCCAGCACTTCTAAAATCCGTTCAGCTGCAGGTGGGGTGTGTGTGTGTGTGTTTGGGGCTGGCTGTCCCCCATCAGCAAGCCCCTGGCAGTCTAGGGGAGCCGGGGGTGGGGGCAGGGTGGCCCTCTCCCTCACTCTCTCTGTCACCGGAAAACTTGTTAAATGCTTTCCCCAGACACCCATCACCCTGGAAGGAACCACCCATCAGAGTGACAGGCAGAATGGCGGTCCCAGCTGTTATGGCCCTGTGGCCAGGCTCCTCTCTAAATATTTCTATCAAGGCAGCACTTTGGAAGCGAGGAAATGCCTCAGTTTAAATGCTTTATTAGCCCAGCGCTGCCTCAGATCCCTTTTGGGAGCAAGCCTGGGTATAAATTTCAAATACATAAAATTAGCCCAGAAGCGGCGACTGGGGCCAACAAGAAAGACGGTTGCGCTTTACTATTAATTGAGGCATTTTACGCAAGTCCTGGTGCAGAGCAAAGAGGGACACGGGCTGACGTCATTCTTCAGGAAGTCTGTCCACCGCACACCCCACTCTCTCCACCTGAGGCTTCAGTTCTGCAGAAGAAAAATTACTTCGCACGCCCTCTGTGTGAAGTGGGAGCCATAGACAGCATGGATCCTGCCTTCAAGGGGCTGACAAAGTTTAGGGATAAGGAAAGTGAAAAGTGACCAGGACCCTGGGCGGGAGGGATGGGTAGGCGGATGTGCACATTCAGCGCGGAGAGTGACTGCTGCTGGCTGAGGAAGTCGGCCAGGGCTTCCTGGAGAAACAGTCAGACTCTAGCTGCCATTAACTCTGGAGTCTAGGCCTCGCTCTGCTTGGCAGAGGCAGAGGTGGAGCTGCAGGGCGGCCTCAGCCGTCCGACAGGAAGCCCCGGAGCCAGAACGGCCCTGTGGAGTAATCCCTGACTGAGGCAGGGGCTGGGCCTTGGCGCCCCACGGGGACCAGTCAGTCTCTGTAACCCTGGTCCAGGGCAGTTTCTCGGCCAAGAGCTGCCAGCAGGGGTGAGGGGGATCCTGGGGGGCACTCAACAGGGGGAGACTGGCAGCAAAGGCTCCAGAGAGGCATTTGTCCATCCAGTTATTCATAACACAACAAGCATTAATTGAGCGCCTTCTGTATGATGGGCATGCAGACACAAAGGAGACCGAGAACTGGTCCTTGTCCTCCAGGAGCATAGGGTCTAGTTGGGAAGACAGGCTCCCACACACATGATAACTTTGTGAAGGGCTAACCTCTGTCTTCAGGCAGCATGGAGAGGGCGGAGGGGGTCCCAGGCAAAGACCAGAGGTGGCAGTGTGCAGGGATTCGCTGGGCTGAGGGGAGGCGGGGAGTCCAGGCAGGACATGGTACATCCTTGAGCCAGGGCAGAGCCTGGTGGTCACTGGGCTGGGCAGACAGTTCCTGGCAGAGCAGGTGACAGTGCTCTTCCCCCCGGCCTCCCCACAGTTGGCCCGCCGAATCAGCATCATGGACGAAAAGATGTCTAAGGTGAGCCGGGCCCTGGTGGAGATCAAGAGGCGGTTTCAGAAGACCGTGTCCCGCTTCATGAATTCCATCCTGTTGGCGGCAGGTAAGGAGCCAGAGAGGGGGCTGGAATCCTACCCAGTGGCTTCCCAAATCCTTGGCCACCTGCAAGTCACCTGCACGGACAGCTCTACCACCCCAGGGCAGTGGCACAGCAGCAGGACTCCCCAGGTGATGGGATGGCTAGGCTCAGAAGTCGGGGGGACACGTGCTCGAGGCCACACAGTTGAGAAGGCGACCTCCACCAGCATCAGCTTCTGAGCACTCTCCGTGTGTCTTAATGTCTTTAATTTCTCTGCGTGATTGCTTTTTCCCTGGTCTCTCCCTTGGTTTTCTGTCACTCTCTCTGTCCCCACCCCCACCCCTGCTCACCTTCTGGCCCCATCTCCCACGTTGCCCATCCTCTGTCTGCAGCCCCTGTTCCTCTCCTTGTGGAAGTTCTTGATAGAAGTGAGATGAGCAGCCCCCTCACCAGGCTGTCCCTGTTAGCCCACAGAGCTCCCCCAGGGCCAGTGTGGGCGGCCTCGGGACCCCCTCCCATGTCTGGGCTCTCCTCATTGCTGATGGGCCTGGGGACAAAGGAACATTCCCGCCCCCCGACTCCATGCCACCCCCTGGCTGGGCCCAGAGAGGCTGTGCTGCCCACCGCGGACTCCCTGGGGGGGTTTCTCCTTGTCCCTAAAGACTTAGTTCAACTAGGCACCTCCTCCAGGAAGCCTTCCCTGACCTCCTAGCAGAACAGGTCACACTCTCCTCTGGGCTTGCATAGCATTATGAATCTTATTATCTAGCATTTGAATATTTCTTTGTTTTCCCATGCCCCACTACATCCCTGCTAGGAGTTCCCAGAGGCAGGGAACCCTGTATGGGGTCATCTCTGTATGCCCGGTGCCCAGCTTTCAATAAATGTTTGGTAAGTGAGTGAAGGAATGAGAGGTACCTGGCCTCAGAAGTTCTCCAGTCTAGTAGGGAAAGCAAACAAGAACACAAATAAATACGATGTAACAGAGAGTGTAGATGGAAATGACTTAAACATGGAGGCACAGGGAACAGCATGGATGTACTCTGTACCCAGTCTATTCTGAGTGTTACAAAGGACACAGAGCCGAGTGACACAGGCCCTTGGAGGAGGAGGGATCTAAGCTGGGTTTTGATGAAAGAACAGAAATGAGGTTGCCGCGTTCTTAGATTCGGCCAGCACTTCCTGATCCACTAACTGCATCTGGCCCGGAGCACCGTGCCACACACCGAGAGGCGGCAGCCCTGCGGCAGAACCAGCAAGAGTGAAGGCCCAGAGAGGGAGATGTGCAGTCTCACAGGGGCGGTGGGGGGGGCCGGGCCACAAGGTGGGTGACAGCGGCTGTGTCTCTGCTCGCAGGCCTGTTAACCATTGAATATCCAGTAAGGGAAGAGGCGGAAGTCAGTCAAGCCAGGTTAAAATCTGGGCCCATTCCCGAGCGAGGCAACAAGCTAAGTTTATACTCGGGAGAAATCCTTTTATTACAATCCCAGTCAGTCCGACCTGAGTCCTTGATTGAAGAGTCTTCGAAAGAAGAGCCTGGGTCGGCTCCTGTGAGCCCCGCTCGGAAGAAGACCTTCAAAGTCCAAGCCAAGGCCATGGTCACAGCCAGGTGAGCTGGGGCCTCATTTCTTCTGGCTTCTGTGGGTCAGATGCTGTGATGGGTAGGAGACACCAACAGCGAGCAGGACAGACGAGGCCCCTCCCTCTTGGAGTTGAAATTCCAGGGGTGGGGAAAGAGAGAAGGTAAGCCTGAGCAGCTGGAATCGTTTTAGACAGTGATGGGGACTAGGAGGAAAGTAAATTGGGGAAATGGGTCAGAATAGACCAGGGGCTGGCAGCTACGGCCGGGGCCACATCTGGTCCCATTGCCTCCCTGAGCTAAGAGTGGTTTTTATGTTTTTAAATACTTGGGAGGAAAAAAGTCAAAAGAATTTTTCATGATGTGAAATGATATGAAATTCAAGTGACAGGGTCCATAAGTAAGGTTTTATTGGAACACTGACATGCCGACTCATTTACACATCATCTGTAGCTGCTTTCTTGCTAAGACAGATGTTGCCATTGTGACTCAGACCATCTGACCTGCAAAGACTAGAACTTTTACTGTCTGGTTCCGAATAGAAAATGCTGACCAAACCCCAGCATGGAGAGTGACCCGGAAGTGGGATGGTTAGGTGGATGGTCGGGGATGCTGTTCTGAGGAGGAGATACTTTAAAGGAGGCTTGAGCGATATGAAGTAGCCACAAAGAAGGATTGGGGGAGGGGACGTCAGACAGAGGACAAGGCACGTGCAAAGATCTCGAGACAAGAACAAGTTTGGTGTGTGTGAGGGAAAGTGAGAAGACCAGAGTGGAGCGCTGTGAGGAAGCAGGAAGAGGGATGCAACCTGAGGACCAAGAGCCAGGCAGGAGCCAGGCCAGGGAGCCCTCAGTGTTAGAAGAGGCCGTACCGTAGCTCCGAGTCTGGAAGTGACATCATCTGATTCATGAGGTTCTTAGAAAACTTTAAAAAATTATAAGATACATATCCCTCATGTTTTAACTTAAAAAATTATATAAAATATAGAAAAATGAGCAAGTCCTAAATGTATAGCTCAATGTGTATCACAAAGTGGACATACCCTATAATGCCCAAGAAACAGAACATTGCTAGCTCCTTAGAAATTCCCTTTCGTCCCCTCGCGGTCAGTGCAGTCAGTAATCCCACTCTCCTCCCCGACGGGAAGGCTAGTTTGTTTTTTAACTTTACTTAAATAGAACTATTCGATATGCATTTGTTAGTGTCTGGCTTCTTTTGCTCAGTGTTACAGTGTGAGATTTACCCGTGTTGCTGGATGTAGCAGTGGTTTGCTCATTTTCATTGCTATGCAGTAATGTATTTTATGACTCCATTAAAAAGTCTGTGTATTCTAATGCTGACGGATATTTGGGTTGGGTACAGTTTTGGTGATGACAAGAAAAACCTGTGCTGGTATTTGCGTGTGTCCTTATTTCTGGTTGGCACATGCCTGGATATGAAATTGCTGGCGTGGAGTATGTGTATGTCCCGCTAGAAACTGTCAGTTTCCAAAATGGTGGTGTCAAGTTCCACTCCCACCAGCAGTGTATGAGAGTTCCAGTTGCTCCACATCCTTGCTATGCCAGCTATTGTCAGTCATTTTAATTACCGCCATTCTGTCATGATTAAGTGGGTTTTAATTTGCATTGCCCTGGTGACTGCAGAGGTGGAACACCTTTTCAATTGTTCATTGACCGTTTTGGATATTCTCTTTTGCAAAGTGCCTGTTCAGTCCCCTTGTCCATTTTTCTACTGGTTGTCTTTTCTTAATTTATATGTTGTAGTTCTTTATATATTATGGATACAAGACTTTTGTCAGTTACACATGTTGGAAACGGTTCTCCCACTTCTGTGGGAGTGGTGTCTATTGATGAACAGAAGTTTTAATTTTAATGTCCACTTTTCAATCTTTTTCTTTGTAATTAGTGTTGGTACCCTAATTAAGAACTCGAACAAGACGATATTCTCCCAAGTTGCCTTCTAGTGGTTTTTACCTTGTAACTTTTGCATTTATCCATCCTCCACCTGGAAATGATTTCTGTGTATGACATGAAGTAGGAGCCAAGATCCCCCCCGCCGCATGTATACTTAACTGATCCAGCACCACCTGTTGGTGCAGACTCTGTCGTAAATCGAGGGGCTCCATGTGTGTAAATCAAAGGTCATTTTCTGGAGTCCTTATTTTGTTCCCTATTTGTTCAAACTTTACCAACACCAAACTGTATTAGTTATCATAACTTTATAGTAAGTATTGATATACAACAGAATAAGTTCTCAGTTTTTGTGTTCTAAGCTGTTTTGCTATTCTTGGCCACTTAAACTTCCATACAATTTTAGAATAATCCCGTTTATTTAAAAAATTGTCCTGGGATTTCAATTTGGTTGTTAATGTCTTTGTAATATTGGAGTATGTCAATCCATGAATATGGTATATCTGTTTATTCAGAGCTTCTCTAATCTCTCCATAATATATTGTGATTTTTCAGCATAGAGGTCTTCTATGTCTCTCATTAGATTTATTCTAGGGTATTTAATTTTTGTGTGCTCTTATAAATTGTTTTAATTTTTCTGTTTGTTCCTGGTTATAGAAAAGTAATTGATTTTATTTCAATTTAAATTTAGTTTTAAATTACTTATAGTAAACTTTACTCTTTTTCATGTAAAAGTCCGTGAGTTTTGACAAATGCATAGAGTTCTATAACCTCCACTGTAGCCAAGACCCAGAACAGTTTCATCACCTTCCCCTCCAACCAAAAAAAAAATTCCCTCATTTTACCCCTTTGTAGTCAGACTCTTCCCTCACCCATAATTCCTAACCACGGCTGGCCTGTTCTCTGCAGCTATGGTTTTGCATTTTCCAGAATGTCATGTAAATGGAATTATACTGTATATAGCCTTTTGAGTCTAGCTTCTTTCACTTGGCATGAGACATGTGAGATTCATCCGTGTTGTTGAAGGTTTTTATTGGATGCTGGTCACCTAGGTACTCTCTGCCTAACAAATGTCAGAATTCCAGGCTGCTGGAAGGAAAGCAAGTGTTCAACGTGAATCACGTTGTTTATACAAACAGTCTGGGCGTAGTGTAGGAAATGGTTCAAGTGCCAAGTTCCCAGACCCAGCCAGGGGCCAGCCTTGTAAGCAGGTCCTTCTAAAGACAGCAGCCCCGGGTCTCCTGTGTTACCTCTTCTCTGCATATGGCACACTGCATAGAAGGGCAAAAATTTATTTATCCATTCATCCATGGAAAGATATTTGGATTGTCTTTAGTTTTTTGGTGATTATTAGTAAAGCTGCTATAAATACTCAAGAACAGGTTTTTATATGAGCATAGCTTTTCATTTCACTTGAGTAAATACTTTAGTGTTGGATTGCTGGGTTGTATGTGAATGTATATTTAGCTTTATAAGAAACTGCCGAACTATTTTCCCAAGTGACTGTTCCATTATGCGTTCCCATCAACAATGTAGGAGGGTTCCAGTTGCTCCAAATATTTGTCACTATTTGATATTGTCAGCTTTTTCCCCCCCTTTTAGACATTCTAATAGATGTCTAGTGGTATCTCATTATCATTTTAATTTGCATTTGTCTAATTACTAATGATGTTGAGCATCTCTTCTTGGGCTTATTTGCCATTCATATATTTTCTTTGGAGAAATATCTGTTGAGATCTTTTCAAAATTTTAAATTGGGTCATTTGTATTCTTCTTGTTAAGTTTTGAGAGTCCTTACTCTGGATATAATTCCTTTATCAGCAATATGACTTTGAAATATTTTCTCCCAATCTGTGGCTTGATTTTTCATTTTCTTTACAGTATTTTTGTGGAGCAAAGTTTATCTTGATACTGCCCAGTTTATCATTTTTTTCTTTTCTGGATTGTGCCTGTGATGTTGTGTCTAAAAACTCTTTGCCTGCAAGTTGTGTCTTGTCTTCTGTAAGTAATGGTTGCAATGTCGGTTTAGTTTTCCTAGTCTTTACAGTGCTGTTTAGCTCTGCTCCTCACATGTGTACTCAGGGGTCACTCTGTAACTAGGGCAGCGGTTTCTATGGTAGTTTAGTTCTGAAAGCTCTTGCTGTGCTTTTGGGGGGTATTCTATGTGTGCACATGTTGGATGTGAGCCTAGGACTTAATGTCAGTGCATGCGTGAAAATGGCTCCCTTCCGCTCCCTCCTCTGAAGGATTTTCTCCACACTCGCCAGCTCCCAGCAGCCCCATTCTCTGATCCGAGTGGTAGCTGTTGACACTCTGACCTGGTTCTTCACAACCCGGCCTACCCCTGGGTGAAGTGGCAAGAGAAGAGGGACGTTTGAAACAGTGGGGACTCCGCCCACACGCTGCGCGGCAGGCGCTCCTTTCCCTGAGTTGTTAGGTGCCCACATCACTGCTACGACAGCAGTGTGGTGACGCCGCTGGGACTGGCCTGGTGACAGAGCCAGGAGAGGGGCAAGAGGAGACAGGGAGAGGATTTTCTCCACACTCTCAAGATCCCAGGGCCCTCTCTTCTGAGTCCTCTGGCTAGAAGGGAGGTCTTTGCTCCGAGTTTTTACTAACCAGCCCCACTGCTCACTTCTCTTGACTCAGGTCCTCCTCAAGTCTAAGCTGGGATGTGAGGAAGGGGAAAAAGTAAAACCAGGAAAAAACACCGCACTGACTGCACCGCAAGTTTTGGCTTTCTGCTCCCCTCCCACAACCCACCTGCTGCCATTTGCCTTTCAGAGTCATCAGACTGGTTAAAAAGCATATTCTGTTCAGAGTATTTAGTTTAACGAGATGAAGAGCAGTATGCTTACTCAATCTGAATCTGAACTGGAAAGCACATTGTATTCTACGCGTTGACTTTTTACCCAACAATCCTGCTCAGTTCACTTCTTAATAGTTTATCAGTAGATTCTTTTGGATTTTCTACATACACAGAACTGCTTTCAGCAAGACTCATTTCTTTTCCAATATTATACCTGTTGATTTCTTTTCTTGCCTAGCTGCACTGGGTAAGTCCTCCAAGGCAATGTTCCACAGAAATGGTAATAGTAGACATTTTTGTCTCAGTCTCAT